CGCGCCTGAGTTCGCGGTGACCCGGCGCCCGGGATGCCGAGTCGCTGGACGTCACCTGAACGTCGAAATTCCCTGGCGCTCCTAGTCCACGGAGCCGCCGCAACGCGGCGATCTGGGTTGTCGCGCGCGCGAGCCCCTCGGCTCGCACGCGAGTTCGAGCTGTCCAGGACATATAAGAGTGCCCGCGGAGACGATCAGAGATTGCCTTCGTACAGCTTTTGGCCTTCGTACAGTCTACCGCCGATAGTGGCACTATCTCTTGTACGCTGGACTTCGCGAGTTTGTCAGTACGCCGGGCTTACGTTCTGGCTTGACTGAGATTCTGTCGGTGCGCCGGGCTTTAACGCCTGGCTTGACTGGATTTTTCTTAAATGTATGTGCCAAGACAATAAACAAAGACAAACAATTTTCCTTTTCCGAACGTGTTCACTCCGATAAGCACTGCCTCGTGCGACTTTTCTTTTTCCGTGATCTTTTCCTTTCGAGGCGCGTTGCTTCGTGCAACTTCATCAATTTAAACCATAATTGATTGTTTCGCATCGAAATTATTACGTCGATTATGGCGACGATAAATCCTGAAAAGGCTACTCAAGTTATTGCTTTAACTGAAGATGGCAGAAGTCGAAGGTACGTTGCTCAGGCACTTGATTTGTCAGTGTCAACTGTGCAACGTGCTTATGCCAGGTACTTACAAACCAATTTTTTCCATAGAAGGCCTGGTTCGGGACGTCCTCGATGTACCAATCACAATGATGACCGATTTATTGTTTCAAATTCGTTAAGAGACAGACATCGAACATCTGTTCAAATTAGAAACAATTTAAGGGATGTCCGCAACATTAATGTATCCGTTAACACCGTTCGGAGAAGATTAAAGGAACAAAATCTGCTTTCGCGCAGGCCACCAACTGTACCTTTGCTTAAATGTCACCATCGCGTAGCTCGACTCAATTTTGCAGTTGAGCATAGAGACTGGACTTACGCAGACTGGAGCAAAGTACTCTTTAGCGATGAATCTCGTTTTTGTATCTATTCTCCAGATGGACGAGAACGAGTTTATCGTCGCGGTGGAGAACGATTTGCAGACTGTACGGTAAGTGAGAGGCATAGCTACAATGGAGGCTCTGTAATGATTTGGGCAGGAATTTCAGCTAATGCTCATACAGATCTACACTTTTTTGACAAGAATATGAACGCAGATGTATACGTGGAAGACATACTCATTCCGTATGTTGTTCCGTACGCACCCTTCATCGGAGAGAACTTTTTGTTTATGCAAGACAATGCTCGACCACACACTGCGAGAAGAGTGCTCGATTTCTTCGATGAAGTTGGCATAAATCGACTCGATTGGCCAGCAAATAGTCCAGATTTAAATCCAATCGAACATTTACGGGACAACCTCGGCAGGAAAGTACGAAATCACGTACCTGCTCCTCAGTCACTGCGAGAACTGCGAATAATTCTCGAAAACGAATGGAATACAATTACGCAGGATGAAATTAAAAAACTAATAAGGAGTATGCCTGATCGTATAAATCAGGTAATACGCGCACGAGGCAGTCATACCCACTATTAGTACACACACACCACACACACAGCAGAGAGGGTTTGGAGTCATTAATTACTGCAGGAGTGACGAACTGCGGGGTCCTTATCTCTGCTGTAACACCACACACACACACACACACACACACACACACGCACACACGCACACACGCACATACACACGTACACACGTACACGCATACGCACACGCAAACGCACACGCACACGCACACGCACACGCACACGCACACGCACACGCACACACACACACACACCACAAGGAGGGTATGAAATCTTGAAATACTGTGGAGCTGACGAACCACGGGGTCCTTATCCTTGTGGTATACAAACACACACACACACAGACACACACACACACACACTACATACAATGGGACTTTTCCTACCAGTAAAACTCCATGCGATTTATATTGGGAAGACTTACAACCATAATTTGAGCTAATGACAGCGGTATCTTAAAACGCAATTCATCTTTATTACGTAATATCGATTACGCAAAATGAAGAACCTAAATTGAATTTTACTTTCATTTCCCTGGCTTTCAAAATAATAAATGCAAATCATTGAATATATTGTGCAGGTTATGTAAATTATTATATAGAGAAACATGAACACAGCTATTGAAATTATGAAAGAGCCAAATGAACCGCAGAGCCTCTTAGCCCCTTAAGCCTCGCTGAATCGACATTTGTTGCAAATTCGAAATTGAATATCTCGACACCTAAATATCCTAGCAGCAAATTTCAAAAACGGTTTGAAAGCTTTGAAACCGTACTTTTCGAAAGATCTATCGAAATTGTGCGCAACGATATTTTTTCAAAATGGCGGGTGATAAAAAGGAGAACATGAAAAGTTGCTAAAAAAAGGTTCGAGCGTGCGACGGCGCATGGAGCAAAGTAAGTGTCGCAGCTCAATGGGACGAAAAGTACCTAAAAGTATAGAATGTTTTCTTTAAAATACTTCGTTATAGAGCTTGATGCGATATTTATTCACTGAATTATGGAAATTTAACAAGAAAACCGCATTTTTAGCAAAATTTGGAACAACTCAGTGAAAAATGATCACATCGAGCTCGGTAAAGTAGCATTTTAAAGATAACACTCTATACTTTCATGTGCATTTGGTCCCATTACGCTGCGATACCTGATGCACACCATGCACCATCGCAAACACGGACCTTTGATTATCAATTTTGCATCCTCTCACTTTATCATCCGCCATTTTGAAAAAAATGGCCGAGCATAATTGCCATTCAGATATTCTTAAAGAGGACGTTTCAAGCTTCATTTTGCATTTCTGCGCATATTTGTATCTTCATTATTTACCAAGTTATGATCATTTGAAATTTTGTAATTTTTCCCAAATTTTTAGTGTACCGGGTTTTTTGCGTTTGAGTGTATATATGGAGGTCATAACGTAATATACAACGTTCATAATTTAATACATTTGGCTACCGATGTAAAAAATTTCGGTCCTCTAGAAAATTTCAGTTGCTTTAAATATGAAAGTTATTTAGGAAAGTTGAAGTCCAAAGTACGGGCAAGTGATAAACCGTTACACCAAATAGTCAATCGACTTTACGAGGAAAATTTTATAAATGGCGTCATTTATAACAAAGATAATAAAAGTTTCATTACAAAATCATATCCAATAATATTATATAAAAATGTAAACGATAAAATTATTATAAAATGTTTACAGTATCGTACTTTTATAATATCCAAACACAAAACCTGATAATTATTGTCTTTTAAAAAATGGGTGTTATGTTATTGTATATAATATTTATACAACCAATATTATAATTGATGGAAACAATAGTACAATAGATTTAAAAGTGGCAGAATTTCTTTCTCCAAAACCATTTTTCCATTTGCTATGTAATTCTAATATAGTACAGATATCAGTTGTAAGTTCAAACAATCTTTCTGATTATTTTATTATTAAGCCAACAGATATTGTCACAAAATGTTTATTACTTCCAATAGAAACCGATATCGGAACACATGTTCTATTGCCTATAATACATACCTATCATAACTAAATAAGTTATATTAATAGATCGTATAAAAATCGAAGTAAAATTAATTTTTTATTGTTGCTTTTTAACTGCAGCTTTTGTGTATTACTTTAAATTATGATCAGTTACGAAAAGCCATACGCTGTCGTGCGTTTCTTAGAAACCGATACATTTTCTGAGGTCCCAAGTAATTGGTTATACGAGGAAAATAATAAAATTTTATGTTGGTGGCCAATAAAAGCAAACAATATCACATCTCTCATATCAAATCGTATGTTACCTGATTAAACAACGTGGGAATTGTGCGAGGTTGAAATAGAAATGTATTGCGGTAAGACAACAAATCTTTTTCCAACATAATAAAACAGTAGAAAAAAGATACAATTATTACGAAACTAAAATTATTTTTCAGATACTTGGGAAAAGGAAGAAACTTAGCGGAAGACCCTATATATAAAACCACGGATGACGAAGTTCTTGGTAAAGGCTGTCGAGCAAAATTCGATAATACCAGATATAGTTCTTCTCCAGAACCATTCATAAAGCAAAAAGATAATATTAGTAAAAGTAAGAAAAGTAAGAAAAAGGATGAATGCTCAAAACGTATGTATTTCATACTTACATATTGGTATATTTTCATTATTTAAAATATTAATGAATTTATTATATACTTTTAGCAATTATTACAAGCTGCATTACTCTTCCACCTACGTTAACTTCTAATGATTTTACGAACGATAACATTATTTTTGATGCAAATTTAAGTGTTGTAGAAGCACCTGGATGTAAGTTAAATTGAATAATGTAACTCATAACTCAATAAACATCAATTTACATTAAATTAACATGCAAGTTACAATATCGTACTCAATAATGTAACAATGTTACAAACAATGTTGCTAATATTGTTTGTGACAGTTATATTGTTGGATAGGAAATTTTAACTTGTATATAAGTATACTGTTACTTGGTATTTATTGAGAAGTATATTTTGTTGAAATTAATGTACTTTATTATTTTACTTCAGTTTTAATTTTTATTAAATCGTATTATTTACATAAAAGTATCATTAATATTTGTATTGCAGCATTGTTGCGGATTCGCCGAGAATCAGCAACACTGCGCGTGATGTTTACACGATCATGATCGCTGTGTCGCCGCTGACGTCAGCGTACACGTGCGAGGCGACTCTCCGACATTCTAATGTCTCGTGCGATACTCGCTGTGCTCGGCGTGATTGTTCGGCCTCCCGACACGTGAAAACACTTATTCCAAACAAAACTTGTGATGTGTCGCGTGGCTGAACCAATCAGCGCCAACTAATCCAATCAGACTTTTTTTTTGTTCTAATCGAGAATCCGTTCGAAGCATCAATTTTTGTATCGAGAATTTTCCACCGCCGGAACTCACTCCGATTTCTCTCGTTATTCCGGACGGACTCTCAGTTCTTGCTCGCTGTCCTGAACGGACTCTCGATTAATCATTCTTTTTCTTGTTTTTTTTGTTTCGCGAATTTTGTTTAAATCTTAAAACTTTGTAACGTCCGACGCCGATTATCAGTTCCGATAGCCGGGCGCGCCGATCATCTGCCGCTCACGAAAATCGCTGACGTCGCGAGACCAACTGCTCGAAGCTCCGCGGCACTTCTCCCGGCGCTCCGATTAATTGTAACTCGGCTAAATACATTTATTTAAGAGCATTTCGCCGCAGCGACCGAGATTCATTTCGATTCTTTGTTTGTTGGTGCAACCCGTCCTCTGCGATCCATCAAATACTCTCCCGCGCTTCTTGCGAAGCGGTCCCGGCACGCGTTCGCTTAATTTTACGTGCGAACAAGCATCGAATTCAATACCTGTGACATTTGTTAATAAAACGGATTCTAATAAGGAAATAGACATAGCACAAGATATTGCTGTCATTAAAGGTGTCTCATTTTGATTTTAAATAATATTTAATTATAAATTTAGTATACTTTTAACTTGTAACGTTAATTTTTTTAAACGTTATATTATTTACATATTTATTTGATAATATATTACATATTATTTGTAATCTTTTTTACATTTTTTAGAGCAATGTGCTTCAATATGTCGTATGCACGCATCGCTCCTTCTCACATTAAAAAATATTAACGAAAGATTACATATAATGGAGCGTAAACCTGGAACCTCTGATGGAATACGATATCAATTCTTAGATCCGTTATTGCCGTTATTAAAAAATCTTTAAAACATTGTTACTTTAGAAGAACTTATCACAAGTAATGATTCAGCTCTTTCTCAATATGTAGGTACATTTTTCATAATTGCATAATAAATAGTAACAAAAACTTCAAAAATAATATTTTCTTTTTTAGAAAAATTTTATTGCCAATATTGGAGGGCATACACCGAGAAATAATATTCAAAGGATTCTAAGAAAAGTTTTTTCTGATGAGTGTGCTAAATTATGTTCATGGAAAGGAAAAAAAACAATTATGCTGTTCATGACTTACGAATAATTATAGAAATTAATCAAATTGTTGCTTCGTCTTATGAACAGTTCAAGGAAATTGAATTTGAAGATATTGCTGCAGAGTGGTTTCGCTTTGCAAAGCAGCGAGCTGCAAGAAAAAATAAGGACTAATATTAAAAAAATAATATTCTCCAATACGTTTTTTAATATAATAATGAATATTTGTCTTGTTTTGTGTGATAACAATTCTTGATATTTTTTTCATACATAATATATAAATTGACTTTACTACTATTTTTTAATTATATTGTACTGTGATACTTTAATGCCTTGGGAGAAATTTTCATAAAATTCTGATGTGATAATTTTATTTATTTGTCATAGTATATTATTATTATGATATTCTTCTGTTATGATCTCAACTGCGTATAAGGTTATTACAGTTACAGCAATGATATAGTTATTAAGTTTGCATTCCAAAGAAACATTGTTAATTTTTAATTTTATAATTAATTATTATTAATTTCTAATTTTATTATTAATTTCGTTCTAATATATTGTTCTAATACCATATTAAATCGTTCTAATATAAATAATATTATTTTGTTCTAAGATTTTATGTCATATATCAATTATATGTTAATATATTAATTCCCATACTACGAATTTTAATATTAATATTAATTAATACTGTGATATTGTATATTATAATTTCATAAATATGTATTTCATGTTTAAGAAATAAAATATATCTATCGTATGTAAATGATTATTTTTCCTTTAAAATATAAATATAATATCGTTTTATTGCTGTTATAGACTGCTTTTATATACCGTAATTATATATGTTATATAACTGTTTTATGAATGGTATGTTATTCCTACGTAACTATACTGTACATGAAATATTGGGTGAGTGCAAAAGTTCGTGCGGAGTTTCAATAGATGGAGTTATAAGCGTCGTAAAGTGTTGTCATTAATACTTCCATCTACATATTATATAACATTGGAAAGGTGACGTCTTCAGCTGTTATTAAAAAAAAAATCATTTGTTTTCATACAAACTGCTTCGAGAAATATCACTTTAAAAATGAGTATCGATAAGGTGCATTTACGGCATGTTATGCTTTACGAGTTTCGGAAGGGAATAAACGTTGCCGCAGCCGTAAAAAACATTCAGGATGTTTATCAGGATGAAGCACTGTAAACGAATGGTTTGCTAAATTTCGGCGCGGAGAATTTAACCTTGAAGACGAGCCACGCTCTGATCGACCTTCTGACATTGATGACGATATTTTGCGTACTTTAGTGCTCAATAATCCGCGAATTTCAACAGAAGAAGTTGCTACTACTCTCTAAACGTTGACCGATCAACCGCTTTTCGGCGTTTAAAAAAGATGGGATTCGATTTGAAGCTCGATATATGAGTGCCTCATTTGTTGACCGAGAAGAACAAAATCAAGCGAATTTCTGCAGCCGTTTCTTTACTCGGGCGGCTCAATAACGAGTCGTTTTTGGATCGACTAGTGACGGGCGATGAGAAATGGGTCCTCTACAACAATGTTCAGCGCAAACGGACATGGAAACAATCAGGTGAGCATGGTGACGCAATGCCAAAGGCCAGTTTGCACCCGATGAAGGTGATGCTCTCTGTTTGGGATTGCAAGGACATAATCTATTTCGAGCTTCTCCCCGCTGGCGAAACGATTGATTCGGACAAGTACTGTCGCCAATTAACCAATCTGAATCGAGAAATAAAAGAGAAACGTCCGATTTTGTCAAATCGCAAGGGAGTCGTCATCACGACAACACCAGACCACACGTTTCGAAAAAGACGCTGCGCAAACTGAAGAGCCTGAAATGGGATGTCTTAACGCATCCACCGTATTCTCCTGATATCGCACCATCTGACTATCACTTGTTCCGGTCATTGCAAAATTATTTAAATGGAAAAAACTTTGACTCTTTGGAGGCCCTAAAAAACGGCGTCTCTTCGTTCTTCGAATCTAAACCGCGCAGTTTTTATGATCGAGGCATCCGTATGCTGCCAGAACGTTAGGAAAAGATTATAGAAAACGATGGAGAATATATCATTGATTGAATAAAGATTTTTGTTTGCCTAATCACTGTGTGACTTTTACTCACAAACTCCGCACGAACTTTTGCACTTACCCAATATATAACATACATATAGCAACTATAACTTACATCAACCTATTTGTAACATAAACATACTATCATCGTTACTTTTGAAAACTGGCGAAATTATGATATAACTACAACATTACAGCTACTTTCACGTTATATAAAATGTGATATTGGAATGTATAGCTGTTATATAGTAAATATATAACTGTGTCGACTGGGGATACACTAGTATGATGTTCTGGATTTTGTCGCAATCTAAATGTTTCATCTGTCCGCAAAGGACAACTTGTATCAAGAAAAAGCATACGATGATTTTCATAATCACTTTCAATAGTACACTTGCTGCAACCAAAATAACCATTGTGACCTTTCGTACAGGTAACTAATGATCTAGGAGGACTGTCACATATGATGGCTCTGAGTTTGACTTGATATAATTCATTATTAAATGTCAGTCCAGTCTTATTTAATTCTCTATATTCAGTAACAAAATATTGTAGAAAGTTATTGTCTATAGCAGGTTTGGTATATCCATGATAAACACCAACAATAATGATGATAGGAGGACCTTCAACAAGTTGAACTAAAATAGGCCATAACTGGCTTTTAGAACTCTTTGCAATAGGAAGACCGGCGATGTTAAGCTTAATAAAGATGGGATTTTTTAATGAGCTGACATAAAATATTTATTGAGCTGACATAAAATATTGATAATACTTCTTTTTAATCCGTAATGATAATAAGAACCACTTGCGTTTTCATAAAGTTTTGTATATCGTGGTGTTTTCATTAATGATCTTGTATCATTAGGAAGATCATGACCTTCACTTTTTAATATTTTCAATAGAGATGTTAAAGTAAAATGTTCAACTTTATGTTCAACTGCCCATAACCTTAACTTTTCGTTAATAGACATTTGTTCAGCACAATGTAATAAATAATAATAAATAAATAATGAGTTACACAAGAAGTAGACATATCTGTAGTATTTGAAACATTAATGCTCTCTATTGTAGGATTAGCATGGAAATGTTCTTGAATTGGAGCATCATCTTCTACAATATCTGAGAAATTATAAGTTTCCTTTTCAATATTTAATGATTTTACTTCCACATTCTGAGTTGATTTAAAAATATTTTCCTTTTCGAAATATGTAAATGACGTCTGATGCGTTGCCATTACAGGCAACGTATGCGTATCAGTTTATATATATATATATATATATATATATATTTATATATATATATATATATTTATATATATATATATATATTTATATATATATATATATTTATATATATATATATATATAAAGATACATATATATATATATATATGTAACGAATAAAAATTATATACTTACTGCATATTACGTTGGATTCGTTAGATTTACTCAACTGCGTTATAAGTTTCCGAAAGAAAAGTTTAACGAAACTGCGTTGTTCTTCTTCTTCTATTTCGCTTCAGAGATGTTTCCATACGCCATTCACACTGAAACTGCGTTGTTTGATGCAGTAACACGAAGAGAAGTTGCTTTTCACAAAAAAATACGAAGACTTCTCATTGGCTAATAAGATAATATGTGACCAATGAGACAACTTAGGGTGCGGTCCAGCGACCGCTACAAATGCTTCGAAGCGTTTTTATTTCTCTCTCTTCCTTCATTCAAATCCAACAGATAGAATAAGAAAGAAAAACGCTTCAAAGCATTTGTAGCGGTCGCTGGACTGCACTTTTACTGTCCTTTTCTAATCTTCCTTTTTAAGATTTTTGCATGTAATAAATTATTATTTTTAATCGTAATTTAGTCGTAATGTCATAATTATGTCACCACAATCAAAATTATCTACCCAGTAAGCAAAATGCTAGCAGAATGCGCGCAGATTGACGCCAATTTTGATCAGATCCCCACATCAAAACCATAGCCATCTGTGTCCTCATTAGGCTCGTGCTTTGTCGACAAGACCTGCGTGCAGACCGTGCGAGTAGATTGTTGGCAGAAACCGCACAGGTCCTGCTGCCAAACTATACGCAGAGTCTGCGCGCAGAATTTCTGCCGCCAATCTGCCGTCAAATTACTACAAGTCTTGCGCGGTTTTTGCTACAAATCTGCCGTCAAATATCCGACAGCAGGATCTGGCGCATATTTGACCGCAGATTGGTGGCATAATTTGATATAACAAATTTTGCATTAAATTTGTTGCCTATTTGCCATCAAACTATGACAGCAGGCTTTGCTCGAAATCTGCTCGTACAGGTTTGGCTATCTGGGTACTGTAATTAGTCAACTTCCTTATATGGAAATATTATTACGACTGAAAAATTATGTATTAAGACCTGTATATTTAAAATAGACTTTAGATGATTTTCTTACATGTGCTGTATATACGGATATTTATCAACTATAAATATTGGCCTAAACTATTACAACATTTTAAAAATATTCAATCAATATTTATTACTCATTGTATGCTATTTGTAGTACTTTTCATATAAGTCATCTTTTTAATGACTTTTGGTCCAGTTAAAAAATCGACTTTTTAGATAATCGGAAAGACATCTTTTAGACATATTTATATTGTATCGAAAAGATGACTTACGAAAGATGTCTTTTTGTCAACTAAAAGTAATTTTGACATTCGGGAGATGTCTTTTAGTCATCTCCGCGTCTAGTCTAAAAGACAACTACGGAAAGACATCTTTTCGTCATCTTTTAATTTTATGTGCTGTCTGGGAACGTTCTTTTGCTTCCCAGCGATAGGTTGCTTCTGCCACGCTCGCGTTTCTTTATGTTTCTTTTGGTTAACATCACGTATGTACTCTAAGGTCTTTTTTGTTTCTCTTGTAACGCGAACGCAACTTTGTGTCAATGGAGTTCAATTATGAATGAAATCACTAAAGGTTTAAATGCTTATAACTTTTGATAGAAGCATTTTCCAAACAAATGTTTCAGATAAAATTTACTTGTTTTTCCCGTAGAATCCAAATATGCAACATTTTATAGGGGGTTCCATTTAAAATTATAAAGTTACCCTGTCCTCCCTTAAAGGGGAAGCGGGAGCGACTTTACGTTTATATAGTTAGAGAATACATGAAACTTCCTTTGAATAATTTTTTGATTTGATAAATATTTTTAAAGTTATGGACTTGTAACACTTTACGTGTGCCACCCTGTATAACAATGTCCGGCAGAAATCTTAAAAATGTCATGCACAAATATCCTTGGGACGTCCTCAATATCTCCACCGACATCCTGTGACTATCTGGAAGACGTCCTTGTGTTGTCCTGATTATGTCTTCTGAACCACATGAGGGACGTCCGGAGGTCGTTCTCGAGATTTCCTGAGGACCCGCTGAGGCGCTCATTTGCTGTACCACAGGACGTCCTGAAGACGTCCCTGGACTTTCATGGGATATCCTCAAAACATCCTTATATCCCATCCCGGATATCCTGAGGATATCCTGAGGATGTCCTTGTGTTGTTTGGGGAGTTAAATGAAGACGATTTTGATCAACGTGTTCAATTCTGTGAGACTATGATAGCGAAAATAGATGCAGAACCTGACTTTTTATCTAACAGTCTTCTCAGAGGAAGCAACGTTTCAATTACACGATATTGTTAATAGACATAATTGCAGATTATGGTCTGATACAAACCCTCACTGGATGTGGGAACACAATACGCAATATCCACTGAAATTGAACGTTTGGGCAGGAATATTAAATAACAGATTAATAGGACCATTTTTTATTGAAGGCAAAACTTGACAGCCCATTCATATGAAGACATGCTGAGAAATCAAATCGTCCCCGTAATCAACGCGATCGTTGGTGAAAACTTCTAACAGGATGGTGCACCACCGCATTATGGACGAAACGTTCGTATTTATTTAGACAATTTTCCTGAACGGTGGATAGGGAGGAGAGGCACGATCGAGTGGCCAGCTCGGTCACCGGATTTGACACCTCTCGACTACTTTCTTTGGGGTTATCTAAAAGATCAACTATACAAAACTAAACATCGGAATCTAAATGATCTACGAGATCGAATTCTTGATGAAGCGGCACTTATACCTAATGAATACACAGAAGATGCTGTTCCAGGTTTTTAATATCGATTAGCGCATTGTCAAACAATGAATGGTGAACAATTTGAGTATTTGATACATTAATCGCGCTTTCAATTGTTAATTTTTCTTTATGATCATCTTGCCTTAGCTGGCTGGATACTTCTTTGATCTTGCCTTGGTTGGCTGGATACTTCTTTGATCTTGCCTTGGCTGGCTGGATACTTCTTTGATCTTGCCTTGGCTGGCTGGATACTTCTTTGATCTTGTTTTGGCTGGCTGGATATTTCTTCGATCTTGCCTTAGTTGGCTGGACATCTTATCATAAAAAGCTCGATAACTTCGAAATGGCTTACTCAATATAAAAAAAATTATAGTATTTTGTAAAGGTCTGAAGAAGGGCTACAAGAATATGCACTAAAAAATAGGGGGTCCCATTTAAAAAATTCAAGTTGACCTTGTCCTGACCTTGACGACGCCACCCAAGGTCAAACTCATAATGTATCAGTAAATAGATCTTTTGAAACCCTAGAATTTTTATTTGAAACATTTTTTTCTAAAATGCTTAGTTTTTGTAATATTTTACCGTCCCGGTACTTTTTATACACCCTGTATATGGATAAATTCGGCATCAAATGCTCTTTAGATTTTATTCCCATGAAATTTTTCAATCTTAAAAATTTAATGAGTAGAGGGAGAGTTAAAAATTTTGACACTTTTAAAAAATCTGAATATACCGTTGCAAACAGTATAAAATACTGTAAAACTTTTGTAGGAAATGTTTTTTCATATGTCTCGTACTTAGAAGACTCGCAAAAAATGAAAATGTTAGTTTTTTCGAGGCATTATTTCACCCTTTAAACCTTAAGATATATACATAAAAAATACGTGCCTAATATTTTATGTTGTTGTACAACATATCTAAAGTCCATTATAATCGGTGGGACAGTTCCGACCCTTTCCTTGTAAGAGACCCATATTTTTTTTATCGGTAATGGCTCAGGTTTAAGGGGTCAAACTGTCACTCAAAGTTTTATCCTCTTTATGCTATCTCGATAATTATTGCAGATAGGAAAAAACTTTTTAAACAAAAATTGTATAGTTTTCTATGCCGTTTAATTTTTGTTTAAAAAGCTTTTTCCTATTTGCAATAATTATTGAAATAGTATAAAGAGGATCAAACTTTGAGTGACAGTTTGGCTCCTTAAACCTGAGCCATTACCGATCAAAAAATATGGGTCTCTTACAAGGAAAGGGTCGGAACTGTCCTACCGATTTTAAATGGGCTTTGGATAGTATAAAATAATAGTATAGAGATAGTATAAAAGGGATGAAACTTTGAGGGGCAATTTCACCTCTTAAACTTAAGATATAGGTATGTGATTTTTGGCTATACTACAAATATGCCAAGTTTCGTTGAAATCGAAGACACACTTCACGTATGTTCCTTGTTAGTCCAGATCAGTCCTAGTTAAAAGGTTAATACGAATATAGACGGCTATAGTTTCGCTGCAGGATTCTAATCAAATCTGCTGATATACTGCTCTATTTTACTTATTAAGATATTGCAACACTTGTAATAATAAAACATAATTTCATTTTTATATACATTTATTAACGTGAAGCTTCAATTACTGCACAATGCTATACAATGTTATGAAAAAAACAACAATAATACAACACTTCTCCCCCCCGCCAGATAAATTTTTTAAATAAATGAATTAGAAATATGGACAAAGTGTAAGTCTAAATAAGATAAACAAAATTTAGAAACTATATCAAAGATAAATATGTATACAGTGCATACCAAAAGTTCGGAGCCACCTAAATAATTTTTGAACGGTTTGAAATATAGGATTGAAATTTATAAGGATTCAATGGGATCATAAAGTCTATTATTTGACCACAAAAACACCCACCTCCACACCCCCGGGGGCCGGGGGGAAGGGTGAGCCAAAAAATTTCAAATGGCATGTTGGGTTGAGTGAAGGCTCGTTCAAAAGGGCCTTCCGAGACGAAAACAACGCGAGGTCGCCGAGGTCTCTACGATTTTTTTTCGCAGAGTTATGATCATTTGAACATTGAGATTTTGCGAGGGCCCACAGCGACAACAGAAGAAAGGTCAGGCTTCACGCGGGCACGCGCGTTCCTGTGTGTGCGTGCGTGCATGCATGCATGCGTGCGTGTGTGTGTGTATGTGTGTGTGTGTGTGTGTGTGTGTGTGTGTGCGCGTGTGTGCGTGCCTGCCTGCCTGCGTGCGTGTTCGGCCAACTAAGGCAATACCGAGATAGGAACACTGGCGTATGTGAAGGAATAAAAACACTAATTATTTAATCAAATGTTCAAATTGATGTCCTTCAACAACTTGGCAGTGTCTTAAACGAGCGTAAAACGTTTCAATTATATTAGTTAAAAAATCGGGTGTGATTGAAATTGAAACGTTCACTATTTTTTCCCGCAGCTCTTCTAAATTTTCGGACCTAGTCTCATAGAACTTTGTTTTCAAATACCCCCAGTAAAAGAAGTCTAATGGGGTCAGATCTGGTGATCTCGGTGGCCATTCTATTGTGCCTCTTCTACTAATCCATCGATCAGTGAAAACATCGTTTAGAATATTTCGAGCTTGCAGAGAAAAATGAGCTGGAGCCTCATCCTGCTGAAACCAAACATTGTGGAAAGCTTCTCCAGCAATATCTTGAATAGCCGGTATTACTTGGTTTCTTAGCAAATTGCAATAATTTTGAAAACAAAGATCTATGAGACTAGGTCCGAAAATTTAGAAGAGCTGCGGGAAAAAATAGTGAACGTTTCAAATTCAATCACACTCGATTTTTTAACTAATATAATTGAAACGTTTTACGCTCGTTTAAGACACTGCCAAGTTGTCGAAGGACATCAATTTGAATATTTGATTAAATAATTAGTGTTTTTATTCCTTCACATACGCCAGTGTTCCTATCTCGGTCTTGCCTTAGTTGGCCGAACACGCACGCAGGCAGGCAGGCACGCACACACACGCGCGCGCGCGCACACACACACACAGACACACACACACACGCACACACACGCACGCACGCACGCGCGCACACACACACACACACATACACACACACACACGCACGCACGCACGCACGCACGCACGCGCGCACACACAGGAACGCGCGTGCCCGCGTGAAGCCTGACCTTTCTTCTGTTGTCGCTGTGAGCCCTCGTAAAATTTCAATGTTCAAATGATCATAACTCTGCGAAAAAATCGTAGAGACCTCGGCGACCTCGCGTTGTTTTCGTCTCGGAAAGCCCTTTTGAACGAGCCTTCACTCAACCCAACATGCCATTTGAGATTTTTTGGCTCACCCTTCCCCCCGGCCCCCGGGGGTGTGGAGGTGGGTGTTTTTGTGGTCAAATAATAGACTTTATGATCCCATTGAATCCTTATAAATTTCAATCCTATATTTTAAACCGTTCAAAAATTATTTTGGTGGCCCCGTACTTTTGGTAGGCACTGTATATGCACCTAATTTTACACACAATATGAGTAATATTATAACCAAATTAATTAGTTTATTATTATATAATTGGAAACAAATAATAATCAAAGTAAAAAAAATATATATGTACATATATATGTATATATATAATTTCGATATTAAAGTTCCACATAATCATTACATTACACATTACATTATATATGTATATACATATCATATCATAAAAATATATTTATGTATGATATTAATTCATATAGTAAACTTTTCCGCAAGTTTTACATTAAAAATCGTCAAAAATTCAATAGATCAGGAATGCAATAAGAGTATATTTTGATTGTTAAAACTTATTATCTCCTGTAAAATCTTGTTAAGCTTTATTATGGCAGACTGAAACAGGACCCATTAATGCGTTTTCAAGAGGGGATTTAACAGGTCACACGTTTACGCGTCTACAGTGAATGAATATTTTCTTTTTTTGTACATACTAAGCGTGATCTGCAACACATCTTTATGTTTATGTCCTCGTAAAATTCTCTTTCACCAATGAGAACTTCCTTCCACAAAGAACGTAATATATATTAACATCAAGGGAAGTGTTTTGTAAGTTTCGGAAGATGCATGATTTTTAATATGTTGCCTGTTGAGTAAAATTGATTGATTATTAAATACAAATACAGCTCTCGAAGATAACAAATCAAAATAAACTGAAAATTAGGCAAGTCAGAGCTAACGCCAGTGAAAAAGCGCAAATAATAACAATACTATTAACAATAATAATAACGCTGATAGACAGACACAATTACAAAGTATTTATTGAAATTATTACAAATGTTATTTATAGGCAATTTTCATACTTATATGTTTGAGTCTTTGCATCTAAATCTAGTGATTTCCATTGTTTTTTTTTCTTTGCAACCTTTTTACTTGCGACAGTTTTCTTATTTATTTATATTATTGTAGTTACTTACACTGAGAAAAGTCCAAATATGAAACCGAAACGTTTATAATAATTTTAATAAATACTTTATAATTATGCCTATCCATCGGCGTTATTATTATTGTTAATAGTATTATTATTTGCGCTTTTTCACCGGCGTTAGCTCTGACTTGCCTAATTTTCAGTTTATTTTAATTAATTGATCATCCTATAGTCATGGCTGACAAGCAAAGGTCGAATGCCAATTCACCCAACCTGATACTGATACGGAGCAATGCAAAACTCATACACTAACTTACATAACCCGACACAGTCAACATGTTAAAATATATTGGCGAGTTTGATGATTCTTCTGGAATGCTATATCGCTTCGTAGGCGACATCGACACCGATTCTCGTGACAGAACCGTTCAAAAATTCTTCAAGTTCATCTCGTACCTTGTTTTCGTCCCTCAAACGATGTATCGAGCGTTTCTTCTTCTTTTCCGTCTTCTCTGATTTTTCCTTGTCTTTCTCCTTATCCTTTGATTTTTTCTTTTTTCTTTTTTCTTTCTCATCCCCCTAAAATTGATATTACAATAAAATAACAATCCATTTTACGATAAAAGCAAAAAGAGAATATAATAGGGGAATAAACGATGTATAAGAGAGATTGAGATATAATATTAGTATGACACAATAATATTTTAATCAGTTTACCCCATTACAGCATAACCATTATATAAAATATAATCCATCGACCTTCTTTCCCTTCTCTCTTTCTATCATTTTATTTCTATAGAATCATATACTATATAATCACATTACTACAATTGTTTAAAACGAAATAAATGCTTATAAGAAACGATCGCTAGATGTTAATATAAATAATCTTCAAATACAGAAGAATAATAAAGTTTGAACATATAATGACGTATAAGCCGAATATTTTTCTAGATTTATGTATTTATTTTTCCGCGGAAAATCAGCTTTCCACTACTAAACTATCATATATATCTCAATTTATATTATGTTTATAATAAATTTATATTATCAATATTAATGAGAAGCCTATTATTCATTCCCAATTAGTAAATTTACGCATTAACTGATTTTTATAAAATTGCGAAAAAACACATTAAGACCATGCAATCAGTTCTTGTAGATTTCTATTTCTTTTTAGTTATAAACTATAGAGCCTGCTTATAAGGTGTCCCATTTTAATGTCCTACCCCAAATAACTCTTCAGTATTAAAGTTTCAAGGAAAATAATCTCGATAAAAATTGTAGGGATTTAAGTGAGCTACCTTATGATGAACTTGACTTTGATCTTGACCTCTATTTTCAAGGTCATTTGAAGGTCAACTTGCGTTTTTTAAATGGGAACCCTTATTTTCTATTACACTGTTTTTTTCTATTAGTTAATTTGAACAATTTTTGTCTAAAACATTTTTTTATTTGTCTAATATTTTTTTAAGGTATTTGAAGAAAACTTGATATCTTTTTCAATATTTAATAACTTACGATATCTCGCTAATTATTTGTCGGAAGAAAAAGTGGTACTAGACTTTCTTGCTTTATTTAGTCTCAAGAATATATTGTTATAATAGCGCCCTGATTTTTGTTAATTTGATGATTTTGAAATTTCCAAAAATCAGTAAGTTAACAAAAATCAAGGCGCTATTGTAACAATATATTCTTGAGACTAAATAAAATGAGAAAGTTTAGTATCACTTTTTCTTCTAACACATCGTTAGAAAGATATCGTAAGTTAAATATTGAAGAAGTTATCAAGTTTTCCTCAAATATCTCAAAAAATATTAGACAAGTAAAAAAATGTGTTAGACGAAAGTTGTTTAAATTAATTAGTAGAAAAAAAAAGTAATAAAAAATAAAGGTTCCCATTTAAAAAAGTAAGTTGACCTTCAAATGACCTTGAAAATAGAGATCAAGGTCAAAGTCAAGGTCATCATAAGGTAGCTCACTTAAATCCCTACAACTTTTATCGAGATCATTTTTCTTGAAACTTCAATACTGAAGAGTTATTTGGGGTGGGACATTAAAATAGGACACCCTGTATACAAGGTGGGGACCTTATAGATTCGAAGATATTTAAGACCTTAATAACTATTAAGGTCTTAAATATCTTCGAATCTATAAGGTCCAGAAGAAGATTTGTATAACCAAAAGTACATGGTACGAAGGGGGCTATTATACAGCGATAATAATTTTTGTCCAAGTGGAGGTGCTTCGGAGATACCAAGGTCTTCATTTTTAATTTTTTAAATAGGCCCGATGTTTTTTTCCATAATATAATAGAGGAGCTTGAAATAAGTTCAAAACTCACGACACAAGATCATTGGACAAGATTTAAAATAAAGAAAAATCGATAAAAATATATTTTTATTATTGAATGAAATTTACGTTTACAAAAGATGTTCGAACGGATACATCGTGCATGATTGACTGACTTTTATTTTCTTTTTATTTTAATCTTATTTCAATCCATTTTTATGTCTAGTTTATCCTGAGAACATGCTCAGATGTTTTTCAGCAATGAAAATAGGTACTTACGTATTATCACTTCAATGAAAACAAACACTCTGAAAGACATCTTAATAAGTTCACCGAGGTAATAAAAGTAAACATGACAAGAGTTCTGAACTTGTTTCGAGCTCCTCTATTATATTATGGAAAAAAAACATCGGATCCATTTAAAAAAATGAAGATAACCTTGGTATCTCCGAAGCATCTCCACCTGGACAAAAATTATTATCGCTATATGATAGCCCCCTTCGTACTGTGCAATTTTGGTTACACAAATCTTCCTCTGGGCCTTATAGATTCGAAGATATTTAAGGTACTAACAGTTATTGTCCCACTCTATATATATAGGGTCCTCAAAAGTCCAGGAACGCTAAAATATTTCAAAAATATGAAAAGTACGAAAAAATGTTTGATACAAAAGTTGTAGGGCTTAAAAAGATCTATTTATTAGTCATATCAGTTTGACCATAGATGGCGTTGCTAAGATCATATGAAGGTCAACTTTGTTTTTTTAGATGGAACCCCCTATTTTTTCTTGGAAATTCTTGTAGCTTATCTCGAGAGCTTTCCAAAACACTATAATGAAGTCATTTTTTATTAAGTTCTTTCCGAGTTATGACGCTTGAAAGTTACAGTACCGCCGGCATTAGCATTACCCAAAGTGTACCACACGGAGGTGCGATCAGAGATGCTTCTCGGTCCACATATTCTAAAAACGAGTTGCGCTCGCTCGTATCTCGCTCTTTGTCTCTTATGTTTCTTTTTCCGATTATAATACCACATTTTTCTCTGAAAAATGTTGACCGAAAAAGAAAAAATATTGCTACTTATTTATCGAGGATTTGGTGACCGTATTAGATCATATCAAAAAGTAGCTGATCTATTCAATGTTACACATCCTGATTTTGATCCTATTTCTAAATCCACCGTTTGCAAAACAATGACTCGTTTTTTTGAAACAGGAACAGTTAAAGACCGATCTCGCAGCGGAAGGCCAAAATCCGCAACTAATGATGATAAGACTTTGGATGTTCTCCAATCATTTCAGGAAAATTCTTATTTGTCCGTATCAAAAACAGCACAAACCCATGATATCAGTGAAGGCAGCGTTTCTAACATTTTAAAAAAGCATAAATGTTATCCGTATACAATTGTTATCGCTCAAGAACTTATGGAAGATGATTTTGATAAAAGAATTCAGTTTTGTGAAGAACTGATGCATCGGTGTGATGATAATGCTAACTTTTTGAATTTTGTTATTTTTTCTGATGAAGCCACATTTCAAATAAATGGTGCTGTTAATCGCCACAATTGTAGATAATAGAATGACGAAAATTCACATTAGATGAATGATTTTCGCACACAATATCCACAAAAATTGAATGTTTGGACAGGGATCTGTAGTCGCGGTATTATAGACCCATTTTTCATAAATGGTGATTTAAATGCTGAAAAATACGAAAATTTATTGCGAGATCATATCATTCCTGAAATTGAAAATTTATTTGACGCAAACATGCAAAACGTTTGGTTCCAGCAAGACGGAGCAGGACCTCATTTTGCGGTGAGTTCGAGAATTTTTAAACCATTTTTTTCCTAATCGATGGATAAGTAAGAGAAATACCATTGAGTGGCCTGCTAGATCACTTGATCCTATCTCCTCTTGATTCCTTTTTTTGGGGACATATCAAAAGTAAAGTTTATGCGATGAAATTATGTAATTTGGAAAACCTGAAGAATCGAATATTGCAGGAAGCATCTCTGATTACTGTAGAACAAATAAGCCATGTGATCAATAGTTTCTATGAACGTTTAGTTCATTGCCAAACAGTAGAAGGAAGATATTTTGAACATTTGATTAATTGAAAAAGTAAAAAACAATAGCTTCAAAAATGTTACCTATGCACGCGCGCGCGCGCGCGCGCGCATGCACACACACACGCACACACACACACGCACACACACACACACACACACACACACACACACATACACACACACACACACACACATACACGCGCGCGCGCGCACGCACACGCACACACACACACGCACACACACGCACACACACGCACACACACACGCACACGTGCGCGCGCGTACTGTTACTTTCAAGCGTCATAAGAAAAAACTTAATAAAAAATGACTTCATTATAGTGTTTTGGAAAGCTCTCGAGATAAGCAAGAATTTCCAATAAAAATAGGGGATTCCATCTAAAAAAACAAAGTTGACCTTCCTATGACATTAGCAACGCCACCTATGGTCAAACTGATATGACTACTAAATAGATCTTTTTAAGCCCAACAACTTTTGTATAAAACATTTTTTCGTCTTTCATATTTTTGATATATTTTAGCCCAGACTTTTTGAGGACCCTGTATATATATATATATATATATATATATATATATATATATATATATATATATATTATATTCACTAAAAATATTTCATAAAGGATAATTACTTTATCTCTGTGTTTTTTCCTTTCCTTCATCACTGGACTGCTACCGTTCGAGCTTACGCGACGCATGCTAGTATCATCAAGTAATTCCAGATGAACGTTAGAACTTGTCACACTGACATCCAGACTTTTGTCGCTGAGTTCCAATCTGTCTTTTCTCGTGCTGGTACTACTCACGTCTTCTCCTCCCTCAGGACTCTGTCGCCATTTAGAATCACGTCGTAACCAACTATCAAAAGCATCGGAATTTGTTTCCGGTTGCTCGTTTGATTCATAATTATTAGAAATATGCAATTCTTGCTCTATGGAAGAGACTGAATCACGTTTGCTGCTTGGTCGTGGTTTCTCGATACTTTTTTCTGGACCTGATAGTGTTTCCAATTTATGTTTTTGTTTAAATAGTGGATTTTCCGCTAGTTTTGGTTGGACAGGTGATGCTACCTCTTCAATGGACGATAAATCATCCTCATAACCAGCTACTAAAGGATTCGCAGTTTCCATGTCACTAAACATAGAAAATTTTGTTTTTAAAGAGAACTTTATTTATGTTTTTTATTATTTAATTTTTTTTTATTTAAAGTATTATTTAAAGTTTTTTATTTATTTAATTTAAATATTTTTAAATATGAACGATTATACAACTTAAAAAATTATGTACAAACTTTACAAGAGAATAACATATAAACTCCCAATGTTTTTTAGAAATAAATTATAGAAGTAGCTTTGTACATATTGCTTTAAGAAAAAAGCTTTTGCTTTATTAACAAACATAAAGCAATAAACATATAAACTACATAAAAATATTAGTAAACTAGTAACCAACTGTAAAATTAATGTAAAAGAGAAAAAAAATAAAAAATAGGTTGCATGTTCCATTAATTTATTAATTGTTAGGACAAAATGAGTGTTCGGTTTATTTGACAAATTTGCTCGATCGATTGCGAGATCATTTTGAGAATATATCTATTTATTTTGATATATTTTGCAAGAATTTTTAATGTTTCTTTAAGCAAATTTTTAAAATTTCCTCACTTCTAACATCATAATTTAAAATAACAATAGTGAGAAAACAGGAGCCTTAAAATATTCAATAATTAAACTCATCTTTAATTATAAAAAAATAAAAATTTTGAGTAAAAGTAAAATATTTTTAAGATAAATCAATAGTTTATATAATATATAATTTATTTATTTTACGTTAAATTATTAAATAAAATATTAAATATTTTACGTGACTATTTCTAAATCGATAAATTTTTTGGTGTATATGCATAATATATGTTACAAATTTGATTAAACAATATAAAATATAAGAGTTTTTATTTAGAGAAAACAATTAAAATGTATAAATTATATCCTGTGCAACAATTTTTTCTACCAAAAGACAATTGCTCAATTACCTCTCTGAGTCTGCTTCCTCTTGTTGCACTTGCTGTATTTTTTGTGGCGAAATTTGACTGTTATCTTCTAAAAACGACCTGTCCAACAATCCGTCATCCGGTACAAAGTCCTCGACGCTGGTTAATGGCGCACTCAAGCTGAGATTCTTGATATGCGACAATCTGTCTGTCTCGTCCTCTTTTTTGTGACCAAAAATCTTTGACATAAGCGATTGCGGGCGATTAATCGAGTCTCTTCTTTCGCTATTGTCATTCACAGACTCGGTTGATTTAGCTGTCCCCATTTTCGAAGCAATATTTTGTGCAGCGGAAGACGATATTGTGATATGCGCAGACTTCGCAGAACTAGATGAATTATCCAACGCACCCGTTGTAGAGCTTTCTTTTCTCGGTAAGTTCAACTTGAGCTCTAAACTTTTCACAGGTATAGGATTCCCACCACCGATCGGACCTGGCATTGAAGCCGACCTTCTAACTTCTCCGGCTATATTTGTGCTAGTTGCTGTTAATGGTGTAAGATGATGACTGCTCATAGATGACGAAACAATGTTCGAAACTAGATTACTAGCAGATACCGAATCTGCAAGAGCCCTCCGTCGGTTCACAAGATTATCCAGAAATTTGTTATAATCTGCGTCATCACTATCCTGAAAGAGATCAAGCTCTTGGATAGTTAACCGCGTTTCCTCCTCGTTGGTATCGAGTTGTTTCAACAGTGTCTCACGCTGCAGCTGCAGGAATGGTAGATTAAAAAATTTGTGCAGCAACTTGAGACCGAAACCGTTTCGCATGGACGACTCCGCATATCTCACCTATGATAAAATTTAATTTAAAAAATCACAAATTTAATTTTAATTCGAAATTAAATAAATTTGTAATTATGATTGAATTATTAATATCATTTGATATAAATCATACATCGAAGATTTCAAATTATATTTTGTAATTATATATATTGAGATATCTTTATATATATATATATATATATATATATATATATAATTACTAAATTATTCTAAAATTAAATAAAATTAAGAAACACGATGATTTTTAAAAATAAATTTTAGTATACTTAGACTATAATTTGATTATAAAAAATATTGTGGCATAATATAAAAATATTTAATTCCAAAAATTAAGAAGTTATGACCAATGTCCATTTAGATTCTTGTCAACGAAATATTAATATTGAAACCACAATTTAAAAAATTATTTATTAGATTAGATGTAAAAAATCTCTCCTTTAATAATAACAATAACATCCCAGTAAGCAAAATGCTAGCAGAATGCGCGCAGATTGACGCCAATTTCGATCAGATCCCCACATCAAAACCATAGCCATCTGTCTCATTAGGCTCGTGTTTTGTCGACAGGACCTGCGTGACAGGCCGTGCGAGCAGATTGTCGGCAGAAACCGCGCAGGTCCTGCTGCCAAACTACGCGCAGAATCTGCGCGCAGAGTTTGCTTGGTTTCTGCCATCAATCTGCCGTCAAATTACTGCAGTCTTGCGCGGTTTTTGCTACAAATCTGCCGTCAAATATCAACAAGATCTGGCGCATATTTGACCGCCGATTGGTGACATAATTTAATATAACAGATTCTGCGTTAAATTTGTTGCCTATTTGCCATCAAATTATAATAGCAAGCTTTGCTCGAAATCTGCTTAGACAGGTTTGGATATCTGGGATTTTAGCATCTTAATAGTAACAGAATTATATTAATAGTTTAGAATTACCTGTGCAGTTCTTTCGTGCAATGAATCTATAAAATATGTTACATGGTCTGCAGTGACAGTTCTATGATGTGACATGTCACAATGATTACCAAGAACGATAACAGGTATGTGGCTAGGTATTTTCGGCAGTTCTCTTTGAACATAGTCAAATGTCCAGCTTTTAGTGATATCCATAACAATGATGACACCATTAGTACCCTTATAAACATCCAGAAACTCTGCATCTAACGCAGGCTCCTCAATAACATTAGTTTCTGCAGATGGGACATTGTCCATCTTCAGGCCCTCAAACCGTCTACGACGTCTACCACGATCTACGACATCCCATACCTCAACCTTGACCACATCATCAGTAGCTTTATAATTCCATTGTATACTAGCCACTTGTATTTCTTCTGTAGGTATATATTCCTCGATAAACTTTTGTCCCTGCAGTCTATAGAATAAACATGTCTTTCCTACATTTCTGTCTCCCTTTATTATTATTTTCACTAAAAATAATACATAAAGCATAAATTGTAACATAGTTTACAATATATATATATATATATATATATATATATATATATACACACATATATACACACCAACATATATATCAAATCATAATAATGAGCACTTGCTTTTATGCACTTACTGTTATATTGTACACCCTTGGAAAACTTTCTCTGTAAATTTGTTGGCATAGACTGATGGGCTGGCCTAGGAGATACATTGCCAATACCTTCGGACTTACCAGCTAGCCTTTTAATAGCAGAAAACATTGTATGATCCTTTCTCAGAGAATCATTTACATAAAAAGGTAGTCCTATAGTCACTGCTCACAAAGGAGCTTGCATGATAAATATCTGCAAACATAAAGATATTTAATATAAATAGAAATATATAACTTAAGATTACATGTGTGTACACATACACATATGATCAAAAATAACTTCTAAATGTAAAATATATTCAATATACAAAAATAAAATGACACATAGTTTTAAATAAATTCTTATCGGAAATTCCTCACTCTAATCAAGAATACTTTCTTACGACATTGTCATTAGAGAACCGTTCGATAAATTTTATAACATGAAAACTTGCAACATAATTTAAAAAATATGACGTACTACATAATCACATTTTATATACATCTAACAACTAGAGAATGTTTAATATAAAAATATGCTTACCACATGTTACTCGAATTGTATGAATTTAAGCAATCTTTTCGCTATCAAATGCCATTAGATGTGACGGATTGAACAATAGCTGTCACACAGCAGCTGTTTTTCTCTATAATATTATAAAGTTGGCAATACCAAATATACTATTATGAAAATTCAGCCATAGTTCATATAGAGAGAAGCCTGAGAGCGGGCATGGCTGCATTTACAGCGTTATGGAAAAGTTGGCTAGAGACCCTAAATATAAGAGACTGGTCAACGTTCTAGTTCTAATTCTAGTTGGATGAAAAATGGCGGACGCAGGTTGCATTCCATTTAACGCTTGCAATGGTCGCAGCGTTACTAACCAAACGACGAGCGATGCGTAACATATCGCGATGCGTAACGTATATAAATATTATTGCAGTAATTATAAATAAGTAATATGTAATATATAGAGGTAAGCATGAATTTAAACTAAAACTATGTGAATCAAAATAAGATATCATAATAAAAGCAATGGAAATAATACAACTGAAATATAATCTATAAATCTACAATCTATTAAAAATATCTTTTATAATTTATATATGTGAATCTGAAATACATAATCAAAACCGAAAATGTTTGCAGATAATGACGGGTTGTAGCATATTGGGGTGTAAAAACAGAACCGAAGGCGGATTTATATTAATTGGTTTTCCAACAGATCCGCAAAGAAAAATGTTATGGTTACAGTCCATTGGAAGAGAAAAGTGGCAACCAAATAAGTCATGTATTTGTGAAGTGAGCATATAATTATATGAAATACATAAATGGCCGTAGTTATGTAAGAAGCAACCAACCCACAAAATTAAAATTTTTGAATTTTTGTTACCAATGAGTAGTCCATTCGTCTTTCTATGTAATAGGAAAACGATCCAAGCCCCATGGGGGTCTAAAATTAATTAAAAAAACAGTTTTTATTTTCTATCAGTCGCACTATTTTTCCTAATTACGTCTTTTTACTAAATTTGTTTAAGAATTAAGCTTACCAATGTATACCTCTAAAGAGTAAAAACTTAACCATGCTTGATTTCTTGAACAATTATACAGAATTTCAATACTATCTGTAGTTTGTAAATCATGCGTCAAATCTTTATCTTTATTTTTCTCGAAACGTAGTCCATGTGGGTTAGTTGTTTCTTGCATAACTACGGCCAAATAATAGGAAAAAAATGTGTATCTTGCGATTGTACATATAGATCCATTTTGCTCCAAATATGTGGGAGAAACCTCGACAAGATGGTACGAAAAAATTGAGAAGAGATGCCATACCAACTATTTTTCCTATTTATGAAAAACAGTTACCTGAAACAACTAATATATTTCTCGATGAACATGAATTACAAGTACAGAAATTACGAACCACTGAAGGCGACAATGAACACATTGAAAAATCCATAAGCATTGATACAGATAACAGTCAATTTGAAGATAATTCTGTATTGTTTTCTGGCAGTTTTCAATCATATGATCAACTGAATGATTCAGGTATTTATATCTTATTATCTTCTAGTAATAATGTGAATAGAAATGATGAGACAAATATTTGTGTAGCAACATCATCATGTAATACAACAGCGTTTACATTGGAGCGTGCTGTTGAAGAAATACATTTGTTACAACAGAAACTAGAAGATAGAGGTATACAGGTAAAAGAAGCAAACGAAAAATTTACGAAATTACAAAAAGATCATGATAAGTTGAAACACTCGAACAAAATTCTCATGAATCGTGTTAAAAAATTCAGAAGCACGCATAAACTGCGACTAGAAAAAACGATTCTACATAAAGTGTTTAACGATAATCAAATTCGATGGTTACAATCAGATTCTAGTAAGCGACGCATTAGTAGTTGGTCAAAGGAAACTATTAAGAAAGCTCTTCGCATAAAAGCTTGTTGTACCAGTAGTGGTTATGCGCAGTTGATTAAAGAAAATATTCCGTTACCTTCACTGCGTACCTTAAGAAGATCTGTTGAAGGTTTGGATTTTTCCTCTGGAATATTAGGCAACGTTTTTGACGCTATGAAGGAAACAATTAGACAGTTTACAGACTACAGACATTACGATTGCATGCTTGGCCTTGATGAAGTAGCTATAACACCCGGTGAACAATTTGATTCTTGTACAAATTCACTTATAGGAAATTCTACTATTCCTAACAGTCGTGGTAATTCCTGCACAATTCAATTTGTAACAATATATAGGGTAAATGATAATTGATAATTGATAATTGATCATTTGGTTTCATTAGCTACTTCACACACTTTTAAGGAGAAAACACTACAGCTACGCATGGCTTGGTATTTATGCTTGCTGGCATATTTCATCGGTGGAAGCAAGTGGTAGCATATGAATATACTCCTGGTGGCTTTAATAGTGCACGTTTAAAACCTATTATAGAAATAATCATTAAAAAGGCTGAATCAATAGGTCTTCGAGTACACAGTATTACATCCGATATGGGAAGTACTAATCAAGCTATGTGGAGAGCTTTCAATGTTGGTTTGCATAGACATTCTACAATACGAAATTCTGTACCTCATCCAATGAATAATACTCGAAAGTTATATTTTTTTGCTGATAGCCCACACCTTTTAAAAAATCTCAGAGCCGCTATTATTAATAATAAACTGATAGCATTGCCAGACAAATTTGTTCAAACTCATAAACTATCATCGTGCGTTGTTAAATTTTCGCATTTGGAAGAGTTGGTACAAGAACAAGAAAATTTAGATATCAAATTAGCTCCTAAATTAAACAAAGAAGTCATTATTCTAACGCGATTTAACAAAATGAGAGTAAACAAAGCACATAATATGTTGAGTACACACGTAAGTAATGCTTTGGATTATCTAAGTGAAGAACGTCATAAAAATGAATATTTAACTACAGCGAGATTTATTGAAATTGTTTCCAAATGGTTTGCTCTGATTACTACGCACGATGAAATACTTGCTTTAAGAAAGAAACCTGGAAATGAGAAATCAGAAGAAACATATACACAAACCATAGCATTTTTGAAATCATATATTGATTTATTTTGCGAAATGAAAGTAGGAAACCAAGGTGTATTCAAACCCGTACAAACTGGCCTTATTATAACAACCAAATCTTATATCGAAGTAGCTGAGTATTTAATTAAAGAACGCCATTATTTATACGTAATAGGAGCTCGTTTTTCTAACGATTTTGTTGAAAATCTCTTTTCAAATATTAGGAAAAAATTTTCCACACCGAACGCACTGCAGTTTAAACAAAGTTTAAAAATATTCACTGTTTCTCAGTATTTGCAAAACCTATCAAACACTAATTATAAACAAGATAGTGGTGATTTGTTGGCTGACTTTTTAAAACGTCCTATGCGACAACGTGTAAATAAAGAATGTACACAAATGCTTGTAATTCCACCTGAAATTGAAACCAAAATAATGAAATTAGATAATCTGGAATTAAATTCATTATATTATGTATGTGGTTATATTATCACTAGTATATGTAAAACTTACAAAGTGTGCCCAGATTGTATTGATTCTGCTGGATCAAAGACGTATGATCCCAATATAACATATTCACGTTTAGTTAGTATAAAATGTTATCGAAAGAATACATTATTTTTTATTAACAAAAATACCTTCTATTATTTTCTTGAAATGAATATTATTATTAAAAGATATTTGAATTATGTTAAAACGGTAAATTGTGATATTATTCCTTTTTTTATTACAAAAATGAATAATATTGTCTGCGATACCTTAAAAGATTGTCACACATTAGGTTACAAAATAAAACTGCGTTTTATAAAATTTAAGGTGAAATAAAGTTGTCACGCCAAACGACTAGATAAACCTGTATTTAATAGTAAAACCATGGCAATGTACAATATTGTAAAATAAATAACATTTCAATATAACTGTCAATAGTTCTCATATTTCCTTCCTTCCTTCTTGGTGTGGACAATATATTATGTATATTTGTTCCAAACAGTCAATCATCAGAGTTCTTATATTTATTTATTAAATATTATACAGATATACATGTGTTTTTACTATTGTTCTTCATATTTCTATCTTTCAAATATTCGCTTGCTTGATCCTCACTGTTTGGTGCCGCCATTTTCCTTACAACCAATCAAACGTGCTAGTCGACATTGACCAGTCTCTTATTTTAAGGGTCTCTAAAGTTGGCTGATTCGAAGCGCCAACTGGGTCCATTTTTCATGGACATGAACTACTAAACCAACGTCCACGATTTGTTGGTACTATTCCGTGCTATGTCCATAATTATTTGGTTCTGTTCTGTGCTATGTTCACGAGCGAGCGAGCTAGATTAGTTAGATAAAAACGAAGAATCGGTCTTTGTCTCACCACCAGCGAATAGACAATCGCGACGAAGCGAGCCAGCAGCGATGTTATCGTAAAGCTAAGACTCCATGCATGCGGTGAGCTGCGGCAAATGCTGCGATGACCAATCAGGAGGGAGGCGCAAGTCCGGTTGCAGCAAGCTCCGGCATGCGTCTGTCTCCTGATTGGTCACCGCAGCCGTTTGCCGGAGCTCACCGCATGCATGGAGTCTTAGCTTAAGGCAGACCCCCCTTTCACCCCCTTATTTTCCTTTCCACATTGTTTTATATTCATAATTCGGGAAGAAAATAATTTCGAGAGTTCGGATGATTTCTAGCAATGACGCGACAGAGATAACGCGCGGCCACATTAATTTGTCATGACTTTTATATTATTTATAATTAACATAAACGCCCATATGCAAATTATAGATAATTATTGCACATATGTTTTAATATTGTACAATATAGTATATAATAACAACAACTTCATTTCTTGCAGTAAGTTTTTTAAGATCTTCGTTGAGGTCGTGAATTAATTTTTTTCTTCATCAATCAGTTTTCTGCAAAAATTACGACTTTTTAAATAAAATATAAAATGTTTCTCTTCTCTTCTCTCCGAAGAGTTAATTAAAAAATATGTACTCCACAGAGTCAACTAAAAAATGTGTAGTCAGAAGAGTAAATTCAAAAATGTACTCCGAAAAGTCAATTTAATAGCATATTCCGAAGAGTCAATTTGAAAGCGTACTCTGAAAAATCAAATTAATATTGTAATTCGAAAAGTCAATTTATAATAGAATATTTACTTCGATGATTCAGCTAAAGAAAAAAACATTTATTTATTATTATATTCAGAGAATAATATTTAATTTATTATTTATACTTATCTTACTTATGCTTATCCTACATATGCTTTGAATGAAAAATTTAATTTGTTGACTGATTCAGATTCAGATTTGTTAAAATATCTCTTATGCGCAACTCTTGAACAGGTAGGTAGTAAAATAATACTTTTTCTTTACGAATTTTATAAACTTTTCACGAACATAAAAATTGAAAGATTCTCAGAGAACAAATAACTTTTCTTGAACATTTAAACCAAAGGAAAATCTTTTCCAATTAATAAAGAATGAATAATTAATATCTCACACAAGAGGAATCTTCATCCTTGAAATCACCGCGCGATTTTGCTTTTAGAAAAGTATAATATTGATGTAATAGTAACAAATGCTATCAAAAACGATGCAAATCTTAAACGTTTTTGAGAAATGCAGTTTGAAGTTTAGTCTTTTCTGTTAATGTCGTTATAGCAAAAGAATTATCAATTTGTTTCAGTAGCGCAGTGGATCAGGCTTTGTGATATGAGCGTAGAGGTTGTTCAAGTGTGTTATTTTTCCTATCACAGGGAAAACTATGTAGAATGTATAATAATACGCAGACAAATTCTTTACATAATCATACTTATTTCTTTTAGCATGAATAAAAATGATCAATGCTAACATGATAAGTGTATATCGCAATTGTACGTGTACGTGTACACATACACACACACATTCACGAATCGTTTGTAACCGTTTATACCACTTTACATTTCGTTTGTACCTCGACCGGTTCGGAAATAGAGCATTTTTAAATTTTTCAAATAACGCCAAAACAGCGCTTCCACTATTTTTTAAGGTATATTAAAAGGGACAACGGGGTTCGATAGAGAATCGTTTGTACCCGTTTGTACCACTTTGCATTTCGTTTGTACCTCGACCGGTTCAGAGATACAGCAATTTTCAATTTCTGTCATATAACGCTAAAATGGTACTTCTGCTATTTTTTAAGATATCTTAAAACGGACAATGGGGTTCGATAGAGAATCGTTTGTACCAGTTTGTACCACTTTGCATTTCGTTTGTACCTCGACCGGTTCGGAAATACAGCATTTTTCAATTTTTCAAATAACGCCAAAATGATACTTCCACTATTGGCGCCCCATAGAGGGCGATCGAGAGAACGACTCCAACATATATGCAGCGGGCGTGCCAACCCGGACCTCCTGGGTCTGCATTCGTCTGGCTGGTGCCAGACCTGCCTTTCTGACCCGGGGGGCCAGATCCCTGAAATGGGGCCTGAAGTCCCACCGGCCGTCCATCGTCGAGCCCAGATACTTTATGCTGGGTCCGACGCGGACGCGGACTCCGTCCACCACGACCTGAGTCTCCGGTGGCGCTCCACGGCTGCCGTCCTGAAAAAAAACAACCTCCGTTTTTTGGGAGGTTACCAACCTACCTTCAGACCCAGGTCACAAATGGTGCCCACCACCGACGCCAAGGCCACCTCCGCGTAGAGGCCGGCCTCCCACCAGTCCTCCCCCCCGGCTACCACTAGGGTGTCATCTGCGTAACAGATGACGTGGCAGCCTGAGGGGAGGGGCGTTCGCAAAACCCTATCGAACGCGATGTCCCATAGCAGGGGGCCCAGAACGGACCCTTGTGCGTGCAATATTTTTTATTGCATTGTTATAATAATTAATTTGTTACAATAACAAGTGAAATAACCATATAACTCAGTGTTCTAATAAATAATAATAAATTTTATTTGTAAAAATTTGTTGGTTTATTAAAAAATTTTTCGAACAAAAGTTGCATGGATTGAAGGAGGACACATGACAGAAATGTGGACTTGACCTTGAGTGACCTTGTCAAAATCAGGCCAAGGTCATTAATGTTTTTTTAAATAGAAACTACAACTTTTTATTACATATTCTTGTAGCTTATCTCGAGAACTTTCCAAAACACTCTATCAAAGTTACATTTCATTGAGTACTTTCCGTGTTATGAGGCTTGGAAGTTAAGGCAAGACCGATCATTGATCCGACCAATTAAGGCAAGATCGATTCGAATATGTCTTAAGCCGTTAATAAGTCTTGGCCTTAGAAGTACGAAATAAAACCTCCTTGCTTTTGTTACAATATCCTGTAAGTTAACAAATATTCTTCACACATACAAACATAGTATTATTATATTTTTATTGAGTAGTGCACTGAACAACTATGACATTGTTCTGAGAGTTTTCTCATTTAGAGCGACGAAACAAATATATTTTATGAATTTTTCTTGCGCGGATAGAAAATTTCACGGATGTAATTGTTTTTGGAGATTATTTAATACTGTATGAAAAATATTTATTAACTTACAGGATATTGTAATAAAAGCAAAGAGGTTTCATTTCGTACTTCTTGATTCTGTACAATATTCTTTTATATTTCATACTACATCCTTGTATAACTTAAAATTATTCTTAAAATATTATTAAACAATCCAATAATTAAACCTGTGAACCTGCCCGACTCCGCAAAATAATTAATAAAATATATTTCATTTTCTTGGCGCCGGATATTATTAATACTATTACAAATAATATTACAAATGATATAAATTTTACAAATAATAAAATTTGTAAAAATTTGTATTATTTGTAACATTATTAACAATTGCAAGTGAAATTACAAATAATAATATTACAAATAATATATATTACAAATAATATTATTAATAATAAAATATTATTTGTAATAATTTCGGTGCGCCGAGTAGACAAAACTTTCAGTATTGTCATAGAGAGGAAAGGAGTGAGAGAGAGAGAGACAGTCGCGCCCGCGATTCAGATTACGGGCAAGAAAGAATTAAGCCAGCGGCACACGGTGCTTGTTTTCGTGCTGGATTGCTTGCTGGCTGAAAATACTGCGTTCTGATTGATGCATTTCCATCCATTTTCGGAAATGTACCAATCACAACGCAATATTTTCATCCAGCAAGCAATCCAGCACGAAAACAAGCACCATGTGCCGCTGGCTTTAGGCTGGCTGAGCGAGAACGAGAGCGACAAGGAGGGAATGATATTCTCTCTCTCTCTCTCTCTCTCTCTCTCTCTCTCGCTCGCTCGGCGCGTCGACAATTGCCGATCGCGTGGCTCACACGGATTGACCGAGCTGGCTGTGTGCGTGCAAAGGGGGGAGGGAAAGGGGAGAATCCTCGTGCAAGCCCATCACCAAATTCGCATCACTGATACCAATGATGTCAAAACCGGACAAGCTGCGGACAAACGTAACTTGTAAATATCGGAGATCAACTGTTTATC